CAGACTTGACGACTTCCAGCCTCCCGAACAAGCCGGTTTCCGAAAAGGCTTCAGTACCATAGACCACATACATACCCTGCGGCAGATTGTACAGAAGACTGAAGAGTACAATCTGCCACTTTGCCTGGCGTATGTGGACTATGAGAAAGCCTTTGATTCCGTCGAAATTTGGGCGGTGCTACAGTCCCTTCAGCGGTGCCAAGTTGACTGTCGGTATATCGAAGTGCTGAAGTGTTTGTACAGTAGGGCTACGATGGCTATCCGAGTACAGAACCAGAGCTCGAAAACCTATCCAACTGCAGAGAGGTGTAAGACAGGGTGACGTTATATCCCCGAAACTCTTCACCGCTGCATTGGAAGACGTTTTCAAGCTACTGGACTGGAAAGGATACGGTATTGACATCAATGGCGAGTACATCACTCACCTTCGATTTGCCGTCGATATAGTCCTTATGGCAGAATCGCTGGAGGACTTAAGCACTATGCTCAATGACCTCAATAGTGCCTCCCAACGGATAGGTCTTAAGATGAACATGGACAAAACAAAGATCATGTTCAATGTCCATGTCACACCTATGCCGGTAGTTGTTGGGAGCACTATGCTCGAAGTTGTTGACGAATACGTTTACCTGGGACAAATAGTCCGACTAGGTAAGTCCAACTTCGACCGAGAGGTCAATCGACGGATTCAACTCGGCTGGGCAGCGTTCGGGAAATTACGGCATATCTTTTCGTCAGGTATACCTCAATCTCTAAAAACTAGATTGTACAACCAGTGCGTGTTGCCAGTGATGACTTACGGATCTGAGACGTGGTCCTTCACTGCTGGCCGTATGAGGACGCTTAAGGTCGCTCAGCGAGCTATGGAGAGGGCTATGCTCGGAGTTTCTCTGCGTGATAGACTCAGAAATGAGGATATCCGCAGTAAAACCAGAGTGACCGACATAGCCCAACGGATTAGTAAGCTGAAGTGGCAATGGGCCGGCCATATAGCTCGAAGAACCGATAACCGATGGGGAAGAAAGGTTCTCGAGTGGCAGCCTCGTACCGGTAGGCGTAGTGTAGGGCGACCCCCACTAGATGGAGTGACGACCTGGTAAGACATGCAGGAAGTCGATGGATGCAGGTGGCTCAGGACCGTGCTTTGTGGCATTACTTGGGGGAGGCCTATGTTCAGCAGTGGACTTGTGAAGGGCTGTAATGATGATGATGAACGCCCTCGCACTGCCTTTGCGGGCGGAATTTCATAAAATTTGTTCTTAGTAATTTTCAACATTTCCAAAAAAATATTCTGTTCAAAATCTACAAGAGTTATAGTTTGAAAATGTGATTCTTTTAATTAACGCTCCCGAAATTGGGTACTAATTATTTTAATTTCGATAGATTTTAATTGATATATTCATTTACTTCAAAAGTTTTGTTATAATTTTTTGGTACTAAATTGAACTATAAATAAATAAACTATCGGAATTAAAATATTACGCACTCAATTAGTAGTATTTATCGAAAGATCAATTTCATAATATATTAATGTAAAAAATTTAAATATCAGTGCCACAGGCTTCAATTCCATTCACCTGTTGCATCCTATTTTTTCCAGACGGTAAAAACTGATCCAGTATATAGATTAGGGAAAAAATTGTGTTATTAGTGGAATGCGTACCGTCAAAAAACAACTTCGATGATGCACCAAAAGTAGTCAAAACATGTATTAACCTTTAATGGCCGATTTACCACAACCAAGAATCGTGCCGTCCAGTCGCTTCATGCATACGGATTTCGATTTCACTAGGCGGCTGGAATAGAAAATGAGCAAGGGTCGTTCTATACTCACTTTTAAGTTTTATATTGCAATTTTCGTTGGTTCTGCAGTAAATCGTTTCATTTGGAGTTCATGTTTGTTTTAAGTACTTCAGCATTCTAAGCAACATTCCAGGGCTTCCCAGTCACGTATATAGCAATAGTGTAATAACTTTGTAGGTGCCAACAGAGTTTTGATAATATCAATAGAGTCATAGGAGATTAAAAATTTTGTACCCATCTGTATCAAGTTGAAGCATATCTTTATTCTTGACCTCTTTGTTCTTTAACCAAATTTCGACGACCCCTTACCCGTCCCCGTACGCCGGGATACTTCCTTATAGGTGGTCCATTACAATCAAGGTCACCTGGAGCCAAAAAATATCGGTTTATCATGAAGATGGAAACTTGTCCTATCAATGAATACATAGTTTTGGAAGCATTAGGTAGCTGAATAATTACAAGAGCTCCAGGCCATATCGAAATGGAGATTACCAGATAAGAAAAACTTAGGCATCAAAGATGTAGTTCTTTTAAAAGAAAATAATTTACCCCCAGGCAAAGTGGGCTTTGGAACGAGTATCAGAATTACACACAGGATAGGACGGAGACATCAAGGTGGTGTCAGTAGAAGCCCAAAATAATATCATCATAAGGCCCGTTAACAAATTGGTTTCTTTAGTTGCTTCAGAAAAATTGTCACCACCAACTGCGGACGAAATGCTCTTCACTGCCTATAACTACATATTATATGTAAAAAAACGTACATAACTACATATTATATATGAAGAAATCGTATTAATCAGACACAGACAAAAACTTTGAGGTTATTATGTTACAGCTGGAACATGAAGTAGATGATATTGATCATTATAACACTATTTTATCAAATAATCCGAATATCAGAAGACAGAAGAAAGGGTTAGTAAATGGCGTTGAATATATTGCGAATACTTTATTCAACTGAATCGTTGGTCTAGTGGTTGTAGTAGTGCGACTACAGATCATGAAGTCCTTGGTTCGAATCCGGTTTGGGCAAAAAAAAACAATTATTGAGTTTTTCACGAATTTCCCCACCACCATGAAACTAAAAAAAAAAAACCATTTTTCCACGCATAACCTCGACCACTTTAAGGTAAGATTTTCCGAAAATAAAAAATGTATGTCATTATATTTATATGAAAATAGGTCTATTTATTTTTACGTTACAAAAATCGTTTAATATTTTTTTCTTGATGAGTGAAACACTCAGAACCTCTTTTGAATTATAAAGAGGATATAGTAGTAAAACAGTGAATTATAATTATAATTAAATTTCATTCTTTATTCTATTTAAGTATGCTCATTAAAATGAAACTTCGTCGATGAAATAAAAAAGGATCTGTTAAAATATAAGTGTCATTTAAGAATTTCCTTAGCAAATAATATTATAAATTGATAACATGTACTTCATTACTAAATCCAAATTTAAAATTTAGGTAAAGATAATAAATGCATCAGGACAGCGCGTCAAAGGCAAGCATCAACTCTTCCCGTTCCAAGAAAACCGTCCCAGAAATATGTATAATTTGCTTTTTATTTCACTCTTTACTATTTTTGCACATTTAACATATAGGCGCTGTTAAACATACTCTATTACAATGCATTTAGTTCAAATAATATCGGTATAACTATTTTGCCTATAAGCATTTATGAAAATATATCTGATAGACAGGAAAACAATCCAATTCTTTGCAACGTCTTTGATAATGGAAGGAAAATTTTAATAAGTGATTGATCTACTAAAAACATGGCATAATTTATGATAGTTCGCATATAATAAAATCATACCGTCCATAAAAAACCTATAGCGTCATCTAGGAAAAATATTAATTAGTTTATTATTAAACTAAAATCAAATCTATTGTATGTATAAAATAATGGGTAGGAATAATATAAACAACTCCAAATCGAATGATGTGGAATATTGTGCCTACTGTTCAGCTCCTATGGTAGATTAGGAGCGTAATTTTATATATTTATTGTAACAGTTCAACCTCTACGTAACACAGTAGCGAAAATCCATTATCTAGTTTTGGTGTGATGAACGGTGGATGATCTTCATTATCCTTCATTATATATTGCTACTAATGATTTTTCCAAGAACTTATAGATGAATAAAGGAAAACATTTTTGCAAGCGTATGTACAAGGGCACTATAAATGTGGATAACGATGTAGTGGTCTTGTAAGAATATTTACTACCCTATATCATACCGGCTTTGTTAAAATCATAAAGCTTCCTTATAGTTTGAATAAAATCTTGCATAAAATTTTGCTCTTTTTTATAATTTTTAAAAGTTAAGGTTACAGAACTTTAACCAATTTTTTAATTAAACATTAATTTTAGTTCAAAATCTATCAGACAATTTATGATGAAGGGCTATGTCCAGGAGTGATTTTTTGTAGACTGTAAATACTGTAAATGACACGGCCAAAATGTGCCTCAAGCTGTACACATATAAAACTATTGCTGTTTATTAAAATATCCGGCCAAGAGCGTGTCGGGCCACGCTCAGTGTAGGGTTCCGTAGTTTCCCGTCCGTCACAATAAGTGTTCCCACTTATGAGTTTAAAGGTGGGTATCCATTATGTTCGCGCTCCAGCAGCGCTCTGCGCTCCTGCAACTGCTCCCGGTAGTGGGTACGTGCGCGAATATGGTGCGTGCAACATTGCACGCTCCGCGGCAGGCGCTCCGACTCGTGATGGTTTTTAGCGCGAACACAAGGGGGAGCGCAGTGTGTCAAAGGGGAGCGCATGTAGAAGTGCGCCCGACGTATCCATTGGAGCAGTTGCAGGAGCGCGGAGCGCCGCTGGAGCGCGAACATAGTGGTAACCCAACTTAAAAAGGCTATTTGTTATGGAACTCTAATAATTACGGAATACTAAAAACGGGCCCACAAAGGACGGTGATAACTAAAAAAAGAGTTATAGATTCCAACCACACATGGAAAGTTCAAGAAAATGTTGTCTATTTGAGTCCCACCACGAATAGTGGGTAGGGGTTGTAACAGAGAGTGATAACCAGCGTCATTTAGTAATTTAAATACTGCAGTATTGCTGTTACTAAGGTAGTCTTCGTTAAAATCTCCAAATATAATGCAAGAACTATCATGCGACAGTAAATTATTTATAAAACCCAATTGCGACGCTGTTGGGGCACTAGCATGATCTGTACAAGGCATTCTTCACATTGTTTACTTCAAAAGATACTGCTTCACAGTGCTCAGTTCCGGAAATTTCACTGTAAGATAGTGGGTTGGAATATTCTAGATTATGTCTTATCATTGCAGATACATCAAAGCTGAGGTTTGCAGAATACTGTTTCGGGCCATTTGTTCGAACTATTTCTTCAAAATTATTCATATTGAATAAATCTTGAAGGCAACTCCAAATTTCTACGGCTAAATAAATGTCGCATGCCATCGTCTGCGGATCGGTTACTACATCCTGCAAGTGTTTACGTAGAGATTGTACGTTATGGAACGTAATTTGGCAGGAACTGCGGAGCTCTATTAAAAAAGCGATATATGGGAATTTAATTTTAATTTTCGCATTTCCGTTACGACGGAATCATGCTCAGATGGTAGACGTGGAGGACGAAAGGTCTCGGTAACAATGAATAAACCTTGAGCGCTAGTGGCACGTGAGCAGGCGACGTATAACATAGATCTTAAAATATTGGGCTTTAAATGTACTACAACTTTTTCTAAGGTGGAACCCTGACTTTTATGTATAGTAACAGCTTCAGCGAGAACTAGTGGGAATTGACTGCGACGCACTTGTAAGTTTGAAGATTTGTACCTTTTCACAGTGTACGTAACTGGCTCTATTGGAGTCCAATTATTTTTTAACCGTGTTTGATAACGAGTGAGGGATGTTGAGCTCTGAATTATTTTTAATTTGCCTATATTTACGTCATCGAAACATATCCAAATGCGTAATGGTCTTCTCTCACCGATAGTTGGATTGACTGCAAAATCAATCGCAGTCAGTACCCCCGTGGTTCCATTCACTAATCCGTCTGACGGTTAATATTTACTGTCATCATATATTTAGCCGTGACTTTTAAAGTTATAGCATTAGGTAATCCGTAGGTTTGAGACGTAGGTAACTTGGCAACTGTGTTTAGAGCTTTTTCTTTCATAGCAGGATTAGCTTCGCCACTTACTCTATCCACAGCCCGGGATATCGCTCCTTCGGTAGTCATATTTGAGAGTATTTTAGAATTATGCTCATCAACTTCTCGGTTACTGCTGAATAGATGAACTGCGCCCTTACACGTGTCTGAAAGTGATGAGTTACTAAAGCACCGACCTTTAATTAAATTGACATCTTCAGGTGACATACATCCACTAGCCATATTATTTAATGCCTTTGGAATATATCGGAAGAATCAGGTTCGAGGCTTTGCAATTCAAGGTAACTTTTTAAAATATGCACTCGCTCTTGTGGCAAACTAGTGTTTATGTACATTGCAGCTTCACTAGCTCGTGACAATGGTAAACCAGTCAGTACATAGATTGCCTCTTGAGCAGAGATCTCACTAGAATTTAAGAATATATTAGATACTATTCTTAATGAATCTTTAACACTTTTATTTTCTTTTTTAGCTTCGTCCAAAGCTTCACGCAAAAGACGAGACATCCCTCGGTCAGCCTTGTTAATATAGTCAACAATATATACTGCGCACGCAAACGGGTCTAATATGAATTGGATGTCCATGTTTGCTTTGTGCAAAGCTAAGATTTTTTTACTAAAAGGATTAATAAATACATCCTGAGGTCTGCGTTGAAGGACTACCGTAGGTCGTTTTAAGGTGCTTCTAATAGCCAATATGTAATCTTCATAACTAACTCTAATCCAGTCCAAAAAATCAACGAAAGTGTATATTCCTGCAGGAATATTTTGTATTTTTTGGCAGATGTCTTTTGCCAATTGTTTTGACTTTTTGAACTCTAAATCGTCTTTTGAAAGTTCTATTAATACTTTTGTTTTATCCATGGGGAAAAATGGCATTTCAAAGCGACACAGTCTATCTGGTGTTGGCCGGCATGTATGTGTATGTTTATGTAGTTGTAGACGTCTAAGTTTATCAGGTACTTCAGTGCTGTTACAGGAAATAATATTGTCAACAAATTTGGAAATATCACGAGCAGATGCTGTATCACCGGGTTCAAAAGTGGGCGCTTCGTCTAACCATAACATCATATGAGCATGAGGCGATCCTCTATGCTGAAATTCAATGCGATAATAAAAGTGAGTGATTTTATAATTTAAGAAAGGTCCAGATGAACAGGACCAGGTTTTTTGAATTTCTTTAAATTTAATTTCAAAATATGTGGCGCAAATGAACGGATCGGATTGTATAAGGCGAGTTTTTTGTATCGTATGGCAAGTTTTCCGCTTCAAGCTCTGTAAGTTTTTTCTTATCAACTACTTCACTAAGCAAAATTAATAATGGAATCCATTGCACTTCGGCAGCAGATATAGTTAAAAATAAAGTGGGAACACCGAACTGTCTAACCATTGCCAACAACTTTTTTTTCACTTTCCCAGTGAGCAGGAGAATTTCTAATTCCTCCAAGAACACGATACCCATCGTCATGTTGAACTAAATTGTCAACAAAATTATTTTGAAGCACATTACATGCAAATACAGGGGCACCTCTGACAGTTTTTTTGCGTAAACAGGTCGTAACATTATTTTTGACGGCAATAGTTTGTTGCTTTTTCAGGGCAGTAAATAGGTAATCAGGTCTTACAGCTCGCCTGTCATTTCTGGAAATTTTTGAACGTGTGACTTAAGAATGACTTAAGTTCACGAGGTATTTTCGCTCAATAGCGCAATGTACTTTTATGAAAGCCAGCTCTTCCAGATGTCAATCAAAAAGCAAGGAAATTGGCCTTTCACCTTCTCCTGGAGCCATAACTATTGTTAGGTCTTGGTTTTCATCCAACAGAGTTTCTGTGCCACCAGGATTTACATCAGGGATCTCAGCAACATTGCTCTCCTGCTCAGGTGAACTACAGGTACATTCGACAGTGTCATCAGGTTCATTATTTGTCCATGAACCTTCAAGTTCTATACCATATGTCCGAAACAGATCACACGTTACTAAATATTCCGCTGCTCTCCGTATGATTTCCGGGCGGACTTGTTCTTTTTGACCATATTTATAACAGAATTTACGCTTCAACTCTACAGTGATGACATTATCATCATTTATCGACCGAGGCAAAGTATTTAACCATGTTATTAATTTTTACAGGTACATTAATAACATTTCCTGATAAACCATGCTGATATCCTAATCGCTGGCCTCAACAAAATATTTTCAAAAATACGTAACGAGGACTTACTAATCTCTCCTCCATTGAAGTTAATTCATTCAAAACATCCGGAATATCTGGAAACTTCAATCCATTAGCTATTGCCAATCGTGGCATTCGCCCTTGAGTTATATATTTAGCACACGTACAGCAAAACTCAGCAGATTCATCACAAGGATTTAAATTAAATACACTTAACGCGAATTCTGCATTATATTTAGTCGAAATAGAATGCTTTATTAGTTTCCTTACAGAATTTTTGTGCCATAATCTACCACAACATGAACAAGGATGATTGTATCCTTCCTTGGTGTTATCAAAATATTTTCGTTTAACATTATGCCAATCATTAATAGAATTACAACGCGCCGATTGTCGAGCTCTGGTGTCCCTAGCTCGTTCAATTTGTGAATAATGTGGATCTTCGCGAGCTATTTGGCGAGCCTGGGTATCACGCCGTTGCTCTATATCACGGAAGACTGGCTTTTTCCGAGCTATGCGGTGAGCATGCGTATTTCGCTGCTGTTCTGTATCCCGGAAGATAGGGTTTTCTCGAGCTTCACGGTGAGCCTGCGTGTCTCGCTGCTGTTCTGTATCCCGGAAGATAGGGTTTTCACGAGCTAAACGATGAGCCTGCGTGTTGCGTTGTTGCTCTGCCTGTATAATGACGGGAATCTGACGAGTGGCCCTGTGGCTCTCAGTATTTCGTATTTGCTTAGTCTGTGTGTAATCAGTATTTTTTCTTCTACGTTTGGCTTGGCCGGACCCAGTATGTTCGTCGTTGGCATGTCTTAATGTAGGAATTGGTTTTTCTTGAGTACTATACGTAAGTGCTCAACAGTCAATGGTCTGGATATCATTAGTCGGATTTTTGTCTTTCTGTGATTCATCTGTAAATGTTGGACTTTCAATTATCTGCGTACTACCTGTAAACGCTGGACTTTCAGATATCTGCGTACTACTTGTAGACGTAGGACTTTCAAATATCTGCGTATTATCTGTAAATGTGGGGTATTCAATGATTTTCTTGTAATTAACGTTTTGACTTTCAGTTTCTTGAGACTGTGTCTTTTGAGACCTTTTGTTTCTTTTCTTTTCGGCATCCTTAATTTTACATTTTTCTTTCTTTGCTAGTATATTAAGGAACAAATTTGCTGGTGGCTGGCCAGCTCTTCTTGCGGTGTTAGTTGATGGGAAAAGTTCTAATACACCTCGAGATAACATATCAAACAAATGACGTCGCATGTCCTCGGCAATGAAATTGATACAGGATGGATTAACTCTCAAAGCTAAAGCGGTGGCAAAACAAATGGCGAATAGCCCACACTCAATACTATTATTTGGTTGACGTTGGACACTAGGGAATTGTATTTTATTATTATCCAAGTATGGGAATAGTGCGTTAACGTAAACGTGCTGCGAATGACTTAAACTATTATATAAACTATAATAGACCCATAACATTCCATTGATGTAATAAATGCGAATCCAATTCCACACTAACCCGACTTCTCCGCCATATAAAATTTGTAAATGAGACTCGTTTTGAGGCACAGGCTCTATTAGTTCCGGATAAAGAAAAAGAGACACTTCTCTAGGCCGAAACGATGTGTGTTGGGCTAACAAATCATGAAAAGCGCGCACAGCGTCGTCCTCAACATGATTATTACTGTTCAAAATATACGAGAACATTTTAATACTGGACAATAAGTAATTATACACAAGTGTGTTTCACACTATTTTAACAAACTAGCCCACTTCAAATCGTAATTAGCTAGGAGTTGTACGTATCAAGTAACTGCGTACTCTGCGTACATACAAAATTAATATGAACAATATCCGCAAAAAGAAGTTAATTTTACCCACAATCTAATTTAATCAAACCTCGACGACTATTAGATTGTCCACTCATAAGATTACGAATATGTTTAAGTGCAACTTCCTTTACCACGGTCATGAAAGCACGGAAAATATTAACATCGACTTATAATAAAATGACGTCATTATGCAACGCCATCTATCGAACCATTTATGAACTGGTTATTACCTTAACATTTTGATGGCGTTAAAAAAATTAATTTTAGTTTTGTTCTAAATTGCCAATGCCAAGGAGAGACCAACCGAACAATTCAATAATACCCGACCCAATGTAATAAGTACCTACAGCGCCATCTCTCGGGGAATTGGGTTACTAATTAATACATAGACGTGCCAGAAGTTTTCGGTGTTAATTTTGGATTGCGAGAACCGATTTTAATAATTCTTTTTTTTTGAAAAAGATATGTAAACGAAGTTAAAAAAATGCTTGCATATACGATTATATTACAAACTTAGTCCAGAAATTATTTTGTACAACTTTTTGTCTTTTTTTGTACAAAAACTGTTTCCATCCAAGTTCAAAATAATTTTTCTAGAAAGTCCTTATAAAGTTCTACTTTACAGATTTTTTTCATATTTTCTTATGGTTCAAAGGTTAGAAGGGGGGACACGTTGTTTTTTACTTTTGGAGCGATTATTTCCGAAATTATTGACATTATCAAAAATGATTTTAGTAAACCCCTATTCATTTTTAAATACCTTTCCAACAATATATCACACGTTAGGGTTGAAATTAAAAAAAATCACTTCTCACTTTACATATAGGGGGGCTACCCTAATAAAACATTTTTTTCCAATTTTTATTTTACCACTTTGTCGGCGTGATTGATACACATATTGGTACCAAATTTCAGCTTTCTAGTGCTAACGGTCACAGAGATTAAGCGAGGACGGACAGACGGACAGACAGACATGGCGAAACTATAAGGGTTCCTAGTTGACTACGGAACCCTAAAAAAGCAAACAAACCAAAAATTCTGAATAACAATTAAAATTTCATTGCAGCTGTTGAAAAATAGCCAAGTTTAAAAGTATTTAAAGATATTTCTTCTGTTAGAAGTCATTCTATAGCATTAAAGTACCTTTAATTTGTTCATATAAGAATTAAAAAGATCAGAGTAGGGAAAAAACAATAACTAAGCTCATAAAAATACTTTTTTATGATAATATGTTATCTAGGCACCTCGTATGATAACTATTAGACGAGTGATGGATTATTTTGCTACGCCACCGCATATTTATCTAACTGTGCTGCAGGTGTTGAAACTAAAGTTAGTATTTGTTTTTAAGATCTACCCGTGGATCATTGAGAAACATTATTAAGTTCATTGAGCATACAACTAAGATCATTAGGGATTTTGCAATGCATAATTTCTAAGTTTTATAATAGTTAAAAACAGTTTTTTTTTAAATGCTTGGGAAAGCACTTTTTATCTATCATAAGAGTCTATTCATTTTTTGGATTACTTTTGCGTGAAAAAGATTTTTCAATAGAAATTTTTAAATGAGAATCTTTTTATATAGAAGGCCTTTCAGTGTTCTCTAAAGAAATATATAAAGCAAATGCCCCAACACAAACTCATTCATCTTCTCTATTGAAATTAGAATGTTTTTTAATTTCAATAGCCTCGCGTAGGAATCGGTGTTCTTTTGCGAGAATTTGTGGTTTATCAAATCTGATATAATGGTAGGGACGATCTTGAACATGTTCACAGACTACAGACTTCCCGGAGCGTTAGTGCTTCACGTCAGCTATATGTTCCTTCATGCGGGTTTTTATAGATCTTTTTGTTTGACCTATGTAAGAGAGACTACATTAATAACCTAGCTTGTACACTTCTGCATCTTGTAGTGAAATATTATATTTGATGGATAGTAAAAATTGACTAATCTTCTTCGGCTTTTTGTGGTATGTTTTAATGGAAGCTCGCTTCAAGATGTAGCCAAACTTGTCTGCGACTCCTCTGACATACGGTAGTACAGCAGGCACACGCTCGACTGTGACCGGCTTCACTCGGTCACTACGACGCAGGCGCGGGGCCCGAAGCTTGTTGTCTTGCAATACTTGCTTGACGTACTGAATGAAGCTCAGCGGCCAGATTTTTTCTGTCACAGGTCACTTGTGCTCTCTGAAACAAAGTTTTTCCCACGTTAGCTAACTATGAAGTATGATGGTGAGATTCACCATTTAAATATCGGTTGGTATGGGTCTTTTTCCTATATACACAAAGTTAAGAAATAATAAGTTAACTACTCGTACGCTTAATTTTATTATATCTTAGTTTTCTTTTTATTATTATTAATCACTAATAATAGACTAATTCATAACATAATTATCGTACTCACAATGAAATATTATTCTTGTTGATATAGAATGAATATGGTAAATGAAATTTTTGGCGGTAGGTGAGGTGGAGCTCCCATTTTGAATTAAATGTATATACAGTTGATATAGATTAATTTTACTAAAATAAAATGTTATAAAGATTTTCACTGCATTTAGATAATAATCAATCCATATAAAGAAGCTGTCCTCTGAAGAAGAAATTGTAGTGACGAGGATGTGTAAGCGACGTGTACTTCACAGACTATAGTATACTCCTTACCACAGAAAGCCCTATAATGTGAAGTAATTGTGAAGCGACAGTAGCCTAATGGCAGGGCGCAGATCGTGAACTCAAAAAGGTCGTGGGTTTGAATCCGCCATTCGACTACTGGCGTGAACCACTCATAACACAAGCAATTTAAGCTTACCACGTGTGGTTAAGGGGAATATTAGTAATGTTTATAGGATTGCTAATATTCTTTTAAAAAAATACAAAAAAATAAATAAAAAAATGTACAATAGTCCTTTTTTGAGATAGACATTTTATAGAACCGCAAATACAACTTACCCCAACACCCGCGAGCGAAGACGTCAGCCTATTGAGGTATTTTGTTTTATACGTCTTGCGGGGATTTTTCTATGGTGGTATAGCGGGGATATCGACCTGTAGTACGCAGCAGAGCCATCTGTGGTCTGAGCATGATACCTCTTTCGACACATGCCATCCCGTTATTAGTTTACCTGCTCCTTCTGTTGCATGTGTGAGGTCGATTATTGGATGGCGGGGTATTCAATAGCAATGTGTTATTGGAAAAAATGACGAATGGCACCATCAACTTCCCGTCACCTAGCCCACTTCCAGGAAGTAACATTGATATCTCCTATGTATTTTTGGGCGATGGAGCGTTCCCTTTAAGTACAAATTTAATGAAACCTTTTCCTGGTCACCATGCAATTGGTACTCCATAAAGGTTGTTTCATCAAGAACTTTCTCGCTCTCGAGTAGTCGTCGAAAATACTTTCGGCATAATGGCCAGTAAGTTTAGAGTTTTTAAAAAATCGATGCAATTGTGTGAAGTTAAGGCTTCTATTATTACCATGACATGCGTTTTATTGCATAATTTCTTAAGAAAAAGTTCAACGTCTAGGGAACGGTACAATCCTCCAGGTACCACTGATACATACATGAATGGTCAACTTGTCTCTCCAGGTTCTTGGAGACAGAATAATGGTAGCGTATTCACATCGCTACAATCAACATCTCGAAGAGCTACAAATAACGCTACCCAAATAAGATAATGCTTCATGATTTTTTTTAATAATTCTACTAATTAAAAGTTTTCGTTTTGCTTCAGATAGCCTAGTGCGATAATTGTGCTTCCCAATAATTGTCACTATTTCCTTTCCATACTAGCCTAGGCACTCTGAATACTTTTATAACTTATAGGTATGTACTTATGACTATTTCAAATAAACAATGTAGGTACGAATTGTATTGAGATTATTAAATAATATTTACCTACTGTAAAGTTTGTTTAACTTCATCGACTTTGTCCGCCGTAACAACTACCGACTTGCACTCATACACTGTGAAAAACAACGTAACTTTTTGCTTGCGATAATGATAGTGGTATTTTGACTCAATGTAGAATCAGTGCTCGTTACTACGGAACTCTTCATAGACTTGCGTGTCTGACTCGCACTGGGAAACTTTTTTTCAACTTTTAGTTTTATTTTACTATTTTTTACTATATCTAAAACAATCAACCTAATTGGGTAAAGTGTGTAATTACTTTTATTTATTCATAAAATATTAATCTCACAAATAGTTATTTTAATAATATAATTTTATGTGAAAGAATTTTCAAAATTCGTCAGGAACTTTTCGAGATGAGCCAAAAAAATATTCATAGAAAGTAGCGCTCTCTATAATGAAATGCATCCTAAATAAGACATCTATAAATGTACACAACATTCTAGTGGTAAAAGAATTTTCAAAAATGGTCAATTACTTTACGAGTTTAGCTAAAAATACATATTC